ATGAAACAGAGTATGTAAAGATTATCCAAATTGGATATGAATAGATTAATCCTCTCAAAACTTTTTGAGTTCTTGTAGAATTCGTCCAATCAATTTGTGAACGAATTGAATTGATAAAAGCGTGAAATGATGATAGTTTATCGGAGATCTTGTGTATCTCTAAAACTGTTTTGTTCAAGTCAAGTTGTGAGGTAGATTTTGAAGCTGAACTTGGTTTACCAAGTCTTTCACTTTTACTCTTTTCAACCCACTTCCAACCTATCCATGTTAATATAAATAAATGCGTTCCATATATAATAATTTCTTTTGGATATTGACAAACCGTCCACCAAGCAGCTACTAATAAACAAGATTCGGAAGGGTTACCAGTTGACCAGGTCATAAGCGACAAAAGGTACGAAAACAAGTGTATGAATGGTGAAGAATATGTTAAAACACGAGTTATGCTCGGTGGTGTGGAAGATAAAAAGTCAACAGGTGGAGGTGATAATAGTTGTGTAGTAGATCCTGTTGAAGCTGTGTTAATAGAAGGGGAAGAGTGACCATTCCGAGGCGCCATATTTTTTGATTTTGACATTGTATTAGTATCTGACACGTTCAAATCTAACGGAGGAATATTTGCAAGAAAAAATGATTGTTGGTCAAAAGGAGATTGCATTTCTTTTATTTGATCTAATGCGGGAAATTTCTTGGACGATCTTATAAATATCAGGTGTATCATGTTAAGTTTTTACGCCACCTTTTCAGCAGTTATCTGAAATTACATCATTAAGCTACTCTAGCAAATGTCAGATATTTCATCAATTCTTCAGGGAGGATATAATCATCCTCTATCACGACAATGGCATTCTGAACGTACTTTACGTAAATCTTCATTAATGTATCCCATTTTTGTCACAGATGAATCAAATGCCGAAGAAGAAATTTCCTCCTTACCCGGTCAAAAGAGGTATTTATTGGTAGTGAATTTTCTCTGAATTCAGGGTTGGGATGAATTTTGATGAAATTTTTTTTTTTTTTTTTTCCCTTAGGTGGGGAATTGATAAGCTAGAAGGATTTCTTTTACCTCTTGTTGAAAAAGGGTTATCTTCGGTTCTCATATTTGGTGTTCCAACTTGTGAGAAAGATCCATATGGATCGAAAGCGGATGATCCAAATGGTCCTGTAATATTATCGATTAAACTTATTCGTTCTAAATTTCCACAATTATTCATTGCATGTGATGTTTGTCTTTGTGAATTTACTTCACATGGTCATTGCGGTAAATATTTCATTACTACGCCACACTGTTCTGTATTCAAATCTCATTTGTGAATTTTTTTTTTTGTCAATAGGATATTTAAATGAGGATAATACCATCAATAACGAAGCCAGTGTGAAACGTTTAGCTGAAGTAGCGACGAACTATGCCAAAGCTGGTCGGTTCCTTTGATTTTTGATTCGGATTTACACGTGTAAAAATAACAATCAAATGATGAAATTATGTAGGAGCACATTGTGTGGCACCGTCTGATATGATGGACGGTCGAATTAAAGCGATTAAAGAATCTTTAATTCGGGAAGGCCTTGCTAACAAAGTCAATTTAATGAGTTATAGTGCGAAATTTGCTAGCAGTTTTTATGGTCCATTCAGGTGAATTCAAAAGAGATTTGTTGCATTTAGAAATTTAAAAAGCTACAACGAATTGATCAAATTTTATTAAACGTATGTTTTTAGGGATGCCGCAAATTCGGCTCCTTCCTTCGGTGATCGCAAATGTTATCAGCTTCCACCAAACGCGCGTGGTTTAGCACGTCGTGCCATTGTACGTAAACTTTTCATTTCATTAATTGAACGAGCAATTATTAATCACGTTTCAAATTTAGACACGTGACCTTGCGGAAGGCGCAGACATCATCATGGTTAAACCTGGGATGCCCTATTTAGACATCTTGCGTGACGCCAAAGAACTTAGTCCTGACGTTCCAATAGCTGTTTATCAAGTGTCTGGCGAATTCGCAATGATATGGAGAGCTGCTGAAGCAAAGGTTTTCGATCTTCGTGTTGCCGTGCTAGAGAGCATGGAAGGATTTTTGAGAGCAGGTATAAAAATTTTTGTTTTTTTTTATTGTGTTTTCTTAACATTTTATTAAATCTCGCTCCCCCTTTTTTTTAGGCGCAACCCTAGTCTTGACCTATTATACACCACAACTTCTTGATTGGTTAGAATCTTAAACATATCCAAAATATACATTTAAAATACACCAAAATAAAGCAAAGCTATAAGTCATGAATCGAGATATTCTAAACGTTGCTGGAATTTCCAAAAAGCAAACTTCGCTTCGTCTTTAAAGTAATCCAGCCCTTTCCCTGATAATATTAATGAGGATCAGTCTTCCAATTGACTTAAATCTTTCTCTTCCCTTGCTTCATTTTCTAATTCTTCAATTTCCAACAAATAATCAATATCTCCGACACGCCAATTCCAATTTACTGGTGGTTCTTCAATAAGATCAGAAGATACTTTGTAATATATTCGATCAGTAGGTTCAAAATGAGGGCTTTCAAATCGGAACAATACCGGCCTTCTTGAACGATCGTCTATCAAAATCTCATCTTTTGCAGATTTTAATGTGTATGTGACCTCAGCATCTATTTCCACGTCCACTTTAAAATTAATCCCATCACTAAAGCTTTTAGCAATTTTTGCCCTTGATTCATTCATGTTATCATCTTGAGTCTTACGAATAGCCAATGTCAATGTCATCCATTTTAGTATGCGATATTCCCGATTTTTTTCAGAATATGCTTTTCTAGGCCCAAGCGTAACCCAAATATCACGAACATTTATTCCATAAATTTTGGGTATATCAATGGTCACTTTAGATTTCTCTGATTCTAATTTATCAAGTTCATTGATCATTCTATCGTAAAACCTTGTAGTCAACATCAATTGTAAGTCATCACGATCAACTGGAATGGAAAGAGCCGCGCATACTTGACGTGCAGCTAACGAGGCTAGAATTTAAAAAAAAAAAAAAATTTATGATGTTATTTTTTTTTAACAATTCTTTAAAAAACAAATAAAAAGACATATACCTCCTTGCAGAAAATGGTCCGGAAAGTATACAGCAGATACCGCGCCCGTTAAAATTCTCGCCGTCAACCACTTGCATAATTGGTGTTGAAAAAATATTGGCAATAACGATAATATAGAAGACCAGAAATTTGCGGTTGGATATGGGTATTGTTTTATTCGTGACGGTTGATTACCATGGAGCCAAGCTGTTAATACATACACCATTATATCCTAAATTGACCTTTTGAATTTAACGCATGACATAAAGGTAAAAAGCTACACACGAAAAATTATCGAGGAACCGGTTTTCTTAGGATGTGGCAAAGTATCAACTGAGGAATTGAAACCAGGTGGTGGCGTGGGTAGAGGATCTTCTGGTGGAGGAGGAGGAGGAGGAGGTGTTGATGAAGACAATGAAGCACGTAACGTAAACCCTGGAGTAAATTTTGAAAGGTGAGGCCTTTTTAAACGGGTTAGCGAAGAAGTAACACCTATTCGTTTAAGAATAAACGGAGAAAAAGTGTTCAATAAATTTATCGCTTGGTTATTTTTTCGCATGTTCAGAAGAGAAAAAAGATTAACAGATTATCCGAGGTTGGTATGATATGATATATATGGACACAATCGGTCCAACTCCTTTTTTTTCATAAAATTCAAAATTATGGTGGTGCGTATAACCTTATAACCTTTTTTTTTTTTAATTAAAAAAAAAATTTATAGATAGATATTTATTTTATTTTATTTTATCGCGTAGAAACTCGCACTTCTTTTTAAAGCGGAACTTGAAAACGTAACCGACGTTGTTCCAGGTTATGACGACTATGAATGGCATTTTAAGGTTTTTACACCTTTCTTCTTTAACTCGTCATTTTCTTCTTATATGTATACATCACTATATTAAACCTTTTCGCGTAATTTTTGTTAAGGTAAAATGTACGAGTTGTAATGAAGTCAATAACAACTGGGTTGGAGTAAACCGACTTGTAAGTTTTTCGTTTGTTACCTTCCAAAGTATTTACATTATTCTTTTTCCTTTACAGTTCTAGTTTTGATATTTTATGTAGGATCAAAATGAGATACCAGGGTCGAGAGGAAGTGCGAATCTTGTAATGCGTTGTAAATTCTGCAAACGCGAAAGTTCGGCACGTAAGCTATTTCTCGCATTATTTTTTATTGTAATAATAATAATAAATACAATTCAATCTTTATTTTTTTTTCAATGATTTCAATAGAATTTGACACGTCTCCGGTTACGCCTTATACAATTGAGAATAGTGGAAAGTTTGCTCAAATGACAACTATTGAATGTAGAGGATTGGAATTTATTGATTTTGAACCAAGAGCAAGTATCCTAAGAATTTTTTTTTTTTGGAAAAATCGGTCACGTGTTTTCACACGCGTTTTTTTTAAATTTTTTTTAGACTGGTTTTAAAGCTGTTGGTACTGATTCAGGAACCAAATTCGAAGATATTGATCTTACAGATGGCGATTGGGCTGAATATGATGAAAAGGTTCCTTTTTTTTTTTAATAATTACATCTCACTTTTATAATTTACGTTGAATCCTAATCGAATACTTCAAATTCAAAGGGTGGAATCCCCGTTGGAATATCGGAAGTACAGGCAGAATTTAAACGCGTTTAAAATTGACTACATATAAAAATATCATAATTAAATTAAATATTATTTCAGATATGTTGTTTTATATTTATTAAATTTAAAAATAAAATACCTATAAAGATTTATAAGTAGGTATTTTTAACCTTGAATTTCGCTTCAATTTAGCAATTTTTGTAATTATTTAAACAAACTGAGATCAGATAGTGTGAATACATGTAACTTCATTAATTTCAGCATTGTTTGCTTTTTCATCATATCTCATGTTAAATAAAATAAAAAAAAATGCCAAATATTCACAAAATGCACGGCTGTTGCAAACTCTCAATTAAACACTTGACAATAATAAATTTTAGTTTCAATGCAAATATGAATATATTAATTTCAACAAAAAATTTCCATTTTGATTTTTGATTCTTTTCAAAGGAACAAAAAATAAAAATTTCTAAACATATAAATATTTTAAGCAACTAAGGCGCTTGCGGTTGATGATTCGCTGTAAAACAAGTGAAGGTTTGAGTTAAGGTGGACGATTAACGAGATGAGGCTGATCAGTAAAAGCAAGAGAAAAAGAGAAAAATATTCCTTGTTTTACAAAAATCAAATACACCTTGCATAAACGTCCAATAATAATATAATTAAAAACCAGAAGAAACAAAAATATATATATATATATATATATATTCCTGAACGTAAAGGATACTATTTCCAATTTGGAGCTAATTGACCAGCTGTCTTATAATATCTGGAAAGACGATGAATTCTGGATTCAATCAAAATTAATCGAAATTTGGAATCTTTATCTTTACGATTACGTTCCAAATGTTTTCGAACAGCAACAGCTTTCTTGATTAAATGATATAAATCTTCAGGAATTTCAGGTGCCAAACCTCAAATAACAGAGAAATTAAGAATTAATTGGATGGATGGAAAAATCAATTTACTTTTTTTTTTTTACAATTTTTTCTAAATTTGTTATCTTACCATTTGACTTCAAGATACGGAGAATCTTATTCCCTGTTACGTTCTTCACTTGTGCGATACCATGAGAATCTCTAAGCGTCACACCAATTTGTGAAGGTGTCATACCTTTTTTTGCAAACTTGAAAATTTGTTCGCACACATCTTCAGGCGTAGTTTTTAACCAAGACGGTGGAGTACGTCGGTATGGAAGAGCAGAGCTCGAAATACCTTTACCGGGAGCATGCATACGACCCATCTTAGTTAACTTTTTTTAATAATCCTACAAAGAAGAAGGCTTAAAGCGTAAAAGAGGACTGATTGATTTCTTTTTTTTAAAAAAAAAAAATCAATCAAAAATCATTTGGAAAAAAACGTGATCAAATTTGCAGATCATTTCATGCACATATAGTAGAAATATTCGAATAAGCGGTTATCCTTTTTCTTTATACTTTCAAAATGGAGAAACTACAAAATATCATGAAATCCTTGCCACAAATGTCTAAAAACATCATAGACGACACGATCCATGAAAAAATATTATCGTATCTATCAAATTACGCGTCACAGGGCCCAGAAACTGTGGTTAAATTTCTTGAATGGAACGTGCTGGACATAATACGTGTCTGTAACGTTAATTTTTTTTGATAAAATTCTAATCATGTTTTTGTTGAATAATAATGCGTTACAAACTTCGATTTAGGCTTGCATCACGCAAGTTGATCATAATAATGAGAAGGATGTAGCGCACGAATGCGTACAAGATCACAGGATCATGGCTTTGTCAATTCGCTTTCTTGCGCGTCTTTTGGCCAATGATGATAGGCACAATGCTCTGTTGATTTCTCAAATTTTTACAAATTATATCGACATAATTGATTTTATTCTGGATCATGCATTCGATGAAGAAGCTTTAATGCGATTTGCATGCATCGAAGCATTAGAACAATTAGTAACTTATAACCTCGGCGCTAGATGGTATACCTTCCTATTTAATAATAAGAACTTTTTCATACGAATTTTTTTTTTAACATTCTAATGCGGAATTAATTAAAGGTTTCTCGAATCAAATAAAAGCGATCAAATCGTTGCAAAATGCTTTGACGATTCTAGTGCTTATGTATGTTAATTTTCTAAGTAATTGTTATACATAAGAAAATAACTTTAACGATTTTTTGATCTATTGATTAAAGGTTACTGATGCAGCATCTAAGCTTCTTTTATCAATAATCAATAATTGTTCTTTACTTACTTCAACAAAGAAACGGAAAAGCCTTGAAGCACAGGATGCCCTTATGAGCTTCTTGATAACTTCACTTGATTTGTTCAATAAAATAAATCAACTTATGTTCGATTCATCTGCTGATATGAGTCATCGATTAGCAACTTTGCAATTGATTTGGATATTGGCGGATTCACGGACAGATAATGCCAATGGATTTTTTAAAAAAGGAAATCTGGTAGTTTATTCTTTTTTTAAAAAAAAGAATAAAATTCTTGTCTTTATTATTTGTTAAAATATTATTATTAATGATAATAATATTCTAATTTATTTTAGTTGAGAAAGTTGAATGTTTTGTTAACTGATCCAGATAGAAATATAAGAGCAAGAGCAAACGATATATTGTGCACTTTGCTTGATTGGGCTCCTGATCCAATTACTTTATTTAAGCAATCTGGGCAATCTATCAATACAAAAGACTCGATGACTGAAAGTATGAAATCTTTCATTTGTAATCCTCACGACTTTTTATTTATGACTCAAACATTCCTTTTTAAATTGTCATATGCAGCTTTGAACTATATCATAAATGAAATCGTCTTCCCGTTGTGGAATACTGATTCTAATTTTGAGATGGTCATTATGGCAGTGAATGTACTTGAATCCTCAATAAAACTAGTTGAACGCGTTTCCTCGGGAAAAATGATATTGGCATCAGTGTTTATGGATTTGTTAATATTCTTACTTAGTTTTGCTACAAATGATCCAACAAAATTCAACTATCCTCGAAACAATCATATTAATTTGGAAGTCTTATATCAAAATATGACCTTTGAAAAGGTATTTTGTTCCAATGAGTTTAAAGTGGTACATCATAATACAAATATTTACGTGTGACATCCCTTTTATAAAACAAGCAGTTAAAGAAACTCTTCTCGAACACGAAACGAAATTTTGCCAGCCGAAAGTCCCTGATTCTCAACATATTGCACACAGTTCACGCTATTTCGCAACAAAATACTGCCGCAGTTGCGGTAATTAAAATATTACATTAAATTTACTTATGACTCCATCTATAAATAATTAACGAAAAAATTTTACCTTTTAGAATACGACATCTATATGCACGATATTAGATATTTTATTTATGCCGACCAGCGCATTATGAAAGAAGCGTTCACCATAATACCCGTTGTCCTTTTCACTAAAATTGAAAATAATAGTATACACGACGTGGAGATCGTGAATAAGGTATCTTTTGATATTTAACCGTTTCTTTGGCTCATTCATGCATTTGGTATTTAACATGATAATCTCTTCTTTTTGGGGGAATAGACATTACAAACAATTCAATTTTTATCTTTAGATTCAAAAATAGAATGTCGCGGAATGATTTTATTACTC